AGGCAACTTTGGCCCCCCCACCTATTGTCATTATCGGTAATACGGTGCAAATATTATTCTTAATTATAGGCATCAATTTTCCATCTACAGTTTCATAATAAGATTGAATTTGTGAAAGTCTCTATTGAAAATTGCTTGAAGGTGATCTTCCTTTTTTTTTAAAAAAAAAAAAATTATTTATGAAAGGAATTTCATTCAATAACCAGATAGCATAATACATTGAAAAGAAGAAAAAAAATAAATGTTGCAAGTTTGGGCCTTTGAAAAAAACCTTTAGCATAAAAATACCCCCAAAAATGTAGGAAAATCCGCCAAAGGAAAAAGAGCACCTCCCACTTGCCATCAAACATAAAGATAAGCCATTAGCTTCTAGATCTGCATAAAGAAAAAGAGTTAGCCATAATGGCTCCTCCTCAATCCAAGTGAAAAAATTTGCGTTCCGAGTGCCATATTGATGACTTGACCAATACCAATAAACAGATATCGCTTATAATAATAATAATATAAACAATAAGTATTAATAAGATTAGAAAGATGACTTGAATCGATGTATAACAATTAATTAATATAAATTACATGATTTTGAGGGGAAGAACAGGTTTGGTTACAACCACGTTTCATTTTTCAGGAAAATAAATAAAAATTACCACAATTCATACAGAATTCATGTTATAAAATAATAATAATAATAAATAGGTGAATATCCATTTTCTTTTTCTTTTTTAATTGAAGGTGAAGCTCTATTTTAACAATGTATACGTGATTTTTTTGATTACATTGAAGGACAGAAATTTCGCTAAGGTTCGATCATGAATATTATGAGGGGGAACGGAGAATCCACCACCACTGTGGTGGGAACCCATTGACATACGTGATTTTCTGTCATTATAATTTGAGATGAGACAATATTTCCACCTCTTCTTTGGCCTGCTATATGTCCTATTTGCCACACATTGCTAGTGTTTGATTCACAATTCGAAGCATATCATGAAATTCTTATAATTATAATCGAAGTTAAAAACATTTGAAATAATTGAGCTCATGCAAAATACCCACATTACCCCTGTGGTTGATACATGCTACCAAATATTGACTTGGGCAAACAGGGTCAAACGGTTGTTGTAGGGTGCTGAATTTTGTCAAGGTTGTACATAGCTTAATCAACACGCATGCACAATATGTAATAATATATATCACTAATAATATTATATTAAACCATAAGCAATGCCTAATCCATGGAATTGGAGGCCCCAGGCCCAGAGTGGTTGCATATAATTGTGGTGATAACACTCCATTAACAACTCCTATTACTTTTCTGGAACTATATATGAAATGCTGATATTATTTTAAGTCACACACGTATTCCTTTGAGAAAACAAACAATTTAAAAATACAAAGCCCTCCAACTTCGGCTTCATCATGCTGCCCACCAAAATAGAGAGACAAATGTATGGTTAAAATGTCCTTCTCTAATCTCCCATACTAGCTTCTATGCATGCCTCAGCATTTTCCACGGCTCTAGACTTTTTCAATCTGACCGACACATTTTTGCACTATGTTGGCTTGTTTTTTGGTAGAAAATGTTCGTTGAGTTGTTGATATCACATAATGATATTAATGCTCCATTGACAATCCTCCTAAACTTGGTTTAACTAAAACTAATAATTTGTAGATAATGTACATCAAAATAAACCAATTGTAAGTCATTGTGGTCACTCAAATGGTGAGGGAAAGGTTGAATATTGTGTTGGGATTAGAATCAGTCGAAGGTTTAATTTGGTGATATTGGTTCTACAAGGACCGTTTCACGGACTGACTTACTTTTATTTTAGTAGTATTTATTTTTTCAATATTGAAAGAGATTTTGAATTTGAATCATCTTCTTTGTAGATTAATATAAAACAAAAAAGGTCCGATTCACCGAACTGATTTTGATCAGGTGACTTTTATCTTTGCATTGATCGGATGATTTTTATCTTTGCAGTTGTAGTTGAATTTAGGACTGGTAGTGATACCCAATATCCAATTTTCTACAATAGTAGTTGGTTCATAGCTTTCAATTGAAGCTGGAATCTACAGCCGGCGGATTATGCATATTACAAATATAAACAAGAAATTGAACTCTAGCTCATAATCATATATGCAGAAAAGATGTTTGTCTCAAATGCAGTCAACCAAAATGTCCCTTTCATATCTATTTTTTTAGTTTTGGAGAATCTGCTAAACTGGAGAGAAAGAAAGCTTAACAAAATCGTGGGATGCAACAAGACATTGAAAATGCACCTCAACTTCCCTTCAATTGACATACAAAATGGCAACCAATTAAGACTTGCTTCCCCATCTACTCAAGCAAGCAAGCCTCTTAGCACTAAAGAGGTCACTTGCTTAGTCTTGGACTCTTTGTAATATTTTGATCATCATCTTCTCCATTCCATCTGCCAAAAGCGAAATGCCTTTGTATGTTTTTTAGTACGTAGAGTGTTTGTATTCTATTAGTCGAAGATCGCGAAAATGGTGATGTATGATTCCATACTTGCCAGAAGTTTCAGTCAGCATGAGCAGAAGAAATTGAGATATGGAGCATTTGTTTGCTGCTTGCTCATAGCATTGTGCTTCTGCACAGTGCTCAAGCCTAATTTGAATCCTCTACCAGATTGTATGTCCATTTATGTATTCTCAGAATTTTCTCTATGTCAAATTTTTTTTTTTTTTTTGGTAACCTTCTTCTGTTTCATACAAGAGTTTCAAAGTGACCATGCTTAGCATATTGATTTCTAACTTTGATATGCACTCAATCATGTCGCAGTGAAATTGCAGCGGTCAATGGGGGTCAAACACCAGATACTGGCACTCTGGGAAACAAACAGCACTCAGCAAGTAATTAAAAACATGCTCGAATATCCGGAGATAAAAACAAACACGACGGAGGAGTTTGAAAATATGACTTCTCATGTAGCAGCAGATTCTGATGATCTGCAGCAAAACGCAAGCACTCTCACTAATCCCATTGCAAGCAGCAGTCAGGCTGAAGAGGCAAAGAGTAAGGACCCCTCTGATTTTCTTCATTTCCTGCGTATTTATTTAATAATGAGAAAATGTTCATTCTGATTTAAGGCCGTTTAAACACTCATCCTGCAGTTGAAGAAGTGGTGACAAAGAATTTAGAGCCACTTTGCAATACTATGGAAGCAAAAACGGAATTTTGCGAGATCAATAAGGATGTTCATGTCGATGCGAAATCTTCGTCAGCGTTTGTTGTTTCATCTCAAATTGGGAATAGGTCCTGGAGTATAAGACCTTATGCTCGAAAAGAAGACGAAACAGCTATGAGCCATACTGGAGCATGGTCAGTGAAACCAGTCATTGGTGAACTGGAAATCCCTCAATGTAACCGAAATCATAGAGTTCCTGCCATCTTGTTTTCAAATGGTGGATATACAGGAAACCATTTCCACGAGTTCACTGATGTGGTGATCCCTCTCTTTATAACTTCTAGAAAATATGATGGAGAAGTTCAATTTCTTATTTCGGATATAAAACCTTTTTGGGTAACAAAGTACGAAGCAGTACTAAAAGGACTGTCCAAGTATGACATTATCGACATCGACAAAGAAGATGTTGTGCATTGTTTCCCAGGCCTAACGGTTGGCCTTAAAAGACATGAAAAGGAGCTGAGCATTGACCCTTCAAAACATTCATATTCTATGAAAGACTTCAGAGAGTTTCTAAGAAACAGTTTCTCATTGAAGAAAGCCAATGCAATCAGAATCAAAGAAGGTCATCAACGAAAAAGGCCCCGGCTTCTGATCATACCAAGAAAGAGAACAAGGTCTTTCACAAATACAGGGGAAATTTCTAAAATGGCTAGACGCTTGGGATTCAAGGTGATTGTTGCAGAGGCTGACATTAACTTGTCAAAATTTGCAGAAGTTGTCAACTCTTGTGATGTGTTAATGGGAGTTCATGGAGCTGGCCTTACAAACATTCTTTTCCTTCCTGAGAATGCAGTTTTCATTCAAATACTTCCCGTTGGAGGGTTCGAATGGCTGGCTACGAACGACTTTGGCGAGCCTTCACAGGATATGAATCTCAAGTATTTGGAATATAAGATAAGAAATGAGGAGAGCACGTTGATACAGCAATACCCACTGGATCATGCAGTTTTCACTGACCCTTACTCAATTGGAAAACAGGGGTGGGAAGCATTCAGGTCAATATTTTTGGAGAAACAAAATGTAAAGCTTAATGTCAATAGGTTTAGACCTACACTGTTGAAAGCCCTTGAGCTTCTGCATCAGAATTAGGCCATTGTTTGATTTCTAAATGTTATTTCCTTGTTCTGTTTTCATTTTCATTTTGTCTCCGTCTTCTGGCAAAGTATTCAATATATTGTATAGAACTTTAGTGATATATCCATTCTTAGCACTAATATTATAAATAAACTCTACATCATTGAATTTCTATAAACAAACTCAAAAAATGACAACTGGCCCTATTGAATTTAATATTGATTATTAAATTACTTTGATACCCTATTGAGTGTTTTGAGTATTTTTATGAGATTTTGGGGTTACGTTTTAAGAAATTGATGACAATTTTGTAATTTATAAGAAGTTAAAAGTCTTTTTGTTATGTTGTAAATGAGTTTTGGGTGTGTTTCTAAAGTCCATTTAATATATGATATTTTTATAATTTAGACTTCTTCATTGAGTATAATAATGAATCTCCCGTTCAAAAACTCCAATGGGTCACAAGTCGTATGAAAAGGTAACCCAAGGAGATGGAATAAAATACAGACCAGGCTAGGGGTACCCACAACTTAATTTGACTTAAATGCTGAGGCCCAGATAGAAGACAGAAATGGGGAAGTCGTGGCCTGATACTTTGACATAACAGTACGCAAGGAATGGGCTTCATACATAAGAATACAAATATGACCCGACCCGAATAAATCACAACATAGCTATTAATATTATTATCATTAGAAGAACATTATTCATCTTGATAATATTTTGGTCTGAGAGACTTCTCTGCACTATGTCGATCTAGAGACTACGTCGGATCATCTATATCGGAGATTATGAGATTTAGCTGCAAAATTGACGACATGGGAGGCCGAGATGGACCAAAGCTTCGAAGATTGGGGTTTCTGGCGAGGCGAGCATACGAACCGTCGTCGTCGCCCTTGGTGTTCGCATCACGAGGATCTGCGAGAAATTTGCATGAAATTTTCGAAAGCGTAGCGTAAATCTCTACTCTCTTCTTTGAATTTGTCAATCTCTAGCACATCTCAAATTCTAAACCCCGACCTAGCCCTAACCCTAATTTACCATTTCATTTTACCTTGTTTTAGATCGAAGAAATTTGTGCATGCGAACCGTCGTCGTCGGCCTTAGTGTTCGCATCACGACGAGGGATCTGCAAGAAATTTGCATGAAATCTTCGAAATCATAGCGTAAATCTCCCATTCTCATCATTAAATTCGTCAATCTCTAGCATGTCTCAAATCTTAATCTCTGACCCAACCCTAACCCTAATTTATCATTTCATTTTACCTTGTCTTAGATGGAAGAAGCTTGTGAGATCGAAGAAGATTGTAATAGATTGTAATCGGCCTCGATCTCCGAGACCTTGGCTGGGCCATGTAAAGAGAAGCATCTTCAGGCCCATTCATTGCATAGCTTCCACTACCAGCAAGATCTTCAGGTGAGTGTTTGAATTTGTGGTTTTTTTAATTGATTGGTTTCTTGTTCGGACTTGAAAGTTTTTGTTTGGACTGTGCTGAATTTCTCAATGATAACGCTTAAGAGTGTTGGGGAACATGAAAATTCATAAGGTGCAATGTTTGTTGTTACTATTTATTGACCTTTATCGTTTGCGTATAAATAAATTATGTGTGGCCTTTGCGATGGCTTTCTTCAATGGCCAAAGTTGGCATGGTCCTTTTAATCTTGTTTTATTAGGAAAAGGCATCTTTCATGCATTATTACTAGTGTTGTTTCTCACTCCGAAGCAAAATGAACATGGAATTGTACTTGTACTTCTGTTTGAATTGTGTAAGTTGTTTGTTGCATGGTATGTCTTAGCTGCAGCAATTCTATGTTTTGTATGTTTACTTTGTTAAGAGTAAGCGAGCGAGCTTTAGAATATTAGAAGCAATGTGTGAAGTAACTTTCTGCAACCTTATATTCCCGATATCTAGGAAGTAAAGTTATAATGTTTTGATGAATACTGAGGCAAATAAGTGGGTTTGCAGTACAGTATAGCAGCCTGAAGATGGTAATGGACGTAGTTTAGTATAGCAGCCTGTAGATGATAATGGACATAGTTTTGTATGCTAAGTCAAATTGATGCAGCAGGAGTAGAATGGCGCTCAAAATCATAATGGATTTTGTTGATATTAGGGATTAATCACTTCACGGGAGAGAACACGAGGGATGAGCAGCGATTGACCTACCTAAGTTTTTAAAAGTCATCATCGGCTTACCTGCTGGCTGAAACCCCCCTCCATAGCCGATTGAATGCTTGGATAGCCACTTAACTGCCCACTATACTTCCTGTAACTGTGTTAGTTATGACTCAAGGCGGCTACAAGTGTCCTAAAATGCTTGTGCCTTAATATTAACATCTTGTTTATGGGGTGAAATATATAGCTATAATAATATGGGTATAGTAGGAAAATGCCATTGAGGGATCTTATTTTTCAGTCTTAGTATTAGGAGTCTTGTATTTTACATTGTATAGACTTCCTCTGTAAATGTTTCTGATCATATGTTATGTTTACTGCAGGCCTCATTTTAGTTAGTTGGCTGTGTTTAGTACTTATTGGGTTTCGTGTGTCTAGGCCCAAACAAATCGGTTACACCACCAGTAAAGAGTCATTCTATAGTGAGGGCCTTATATATGGTCCTTAAGTGAGGTTCTATCTCTTAACCGTCGGATCAGGCTAACCAATTTTATACAATGGCTAACCAATTTGATCCAGGGTTGAGAGATAGGGCCTCACCTAAAGGACATATATAAGGCCCTCAATATAGAATTCTTGCACCAGTAATTGCAATTTGGGCCTAATATTTCTGATATCAATTTTTGGGTCCAATAACTATCGATTTTGGGGTTCAGTAGTTCCGCAATTTTGGCACAAAAGCTGCTAACTCGTTCCAAGAATTTACACCTCTGTGTATATTTTATCGGTTTTTCATTTGTATTTTTTTGGCCAATACTTGATATTCTTTTCTGCAGCTATGCTTCTGTTCATATGAATTAATTTGGTTGTTATCTATCTTTTTGGAACAGAGACCTTTTGTAAAGCTTGAAAATGCAAAAAGGCCATTGACTACAGGGATCGTCGCTACTGAGAAGGCTTGGGATCTTGAGATGATAATGATGATGAAGAAAGCGACTTAGCTGAATGATAACTTATTTGTTTGTTTGGTTTTTGGTGTGTGCGCGCCTGTTTCTTTTTTCTTCTGTTATCAAGTTTCAGGTAATATAATGAATGAGGACGTTGGTTTACTGAGAAAACATGATTTGAAACATGACACTAACATGACTGAATAACAATATATTGACTATATTTATAGCTTTTAGCCTGTATTAGGCTGAAGTTATTAGCTTTGGGTTAACGTTTGACATATTGGGCCAAACTCGAACTGAAGTTCCGTTCAATGGGCCCACCTTTTTGTTAGTTGGCCGAACCTTAATCAGAACTTTAAATTATTGGTTGGCTTACAGGACCTTTTTATGTTATTGGGTTAACGTAAGGGCCGCCTTTCCGCACGTTGTGGGGCTGAGGTAGCCCATTTGAGCGTTATTGGGCTTACCTTGGGCCTTTGTGACGCTTTTGTTCCCAGATTTGGGCCTGTATTCAACGTAATTCGGCCGATGTCTGGGCCCTTTACTTCTTGGGACATCTGGTCCCAATGACGGGATACTGGGCCGACTATTGGGCCATTTTTCAGGTTAAGGGGCTGACTTCTGGGCCTGTTCTCTCAGGTTATTGGGCAGAATTCGGGTCCTTCGTTTTATTTTATATTATTGGGCCGATATATAAGCCTTATTTTTCAGGTTATTGGGTCAAAATCGGGACTTTTTAAGTTATTGGGCTGATATGTGGGCCGTTTTCACTTTATTGGGCCGTTATATGGGCTTGCTTCACATTACAGGGACGATATATGGGCCTGTTTTCACGTTAATGGGCTGAGATCCTAGCCCATTTGAGAGTTATTGGGCCTATTCTTGGGCCTTCACTTGCGGTATTGGGCAGACATCTAGGCCCCTTTATGACGTTATTGGGCCTCTATCTGGGCCCGTTTTCACGTTATTGGGCCCCTCTCTGGGCCTGCTTTCACATTAATGGGCCCAGGGGCCATTTGAGCTGCCTTCTCAAGGTATTGGGCCGTAATGTGGACCCATTTGAGCTTGTTTGGGCTGACTTGGCCTTTTGTTAGCTTATTGGGCGGACTACAGGGCCTATTTTCAGGGGACATCTGGCCCTGTTTTCTGATAAGGGGCCAGTAGTTGGGCTATGTTAACGTTAGTCGGCACATTTCTGTTACCGTTTTTGCGATACTGGGCCTTATTCAAGATATTGGGCCATCATCTGGACCAGTTTTCTTAATATTGGACCGATTTCTGGGCCTTACATTATTATACATATTACACTTTTGGGCACACTCAATGCGACAAGTAGTTGAATATACGGGTAGTTATATCAAATTTGGCCTTAAAAACTTGAAATTGTCTTAATCGCACAATTGATTCCGTGCCCATAAATCTGAGATTGCCGCCCAATTACGTTTGTAGCCATGAATTCGCCACCAACAATACTAACAAGTTTGATGATATTGAAACACTTGATCAGTCTTGTTTTACTGAACCTCAAAGTAAAAGTCAAAGTAAAGCCATTCGCCTAAGCGGTTGATTTAAGAGCAAGCTGGACCCTTCGCTCTAGGCCTTTTATCTATGTACGCAGTCGATTTTTATGCCTGATTGGGCCGACCATTCAGTTATCCAGGGTTCGACTCCTAAAATCTGGCCATTTTAAAAGAAATTAAAATATCGACTGCAAATGAAAAAAAATACCAAATCTACTTAAAGAGATTAAAAAATACTTGGAAAATGGATGAGTGAAAGCATAATGGATGAGAAATGAAAGAGACCCAGAAACCATGCAACGCAGAAGAAAAACGCCATCAAGCGCGAAGAAATAAGCAAGGCAATGTAGAACAAAGTAACACAAATTGGATAGCTGACCGAAAGAAAAATCAAGGCATGTAAAACCAAATGATAGCACTTTCATGCTTCACAATTAGAAAAAAAAAAAAAGAAAATTTAGTTGGAGCAAGAAAAAAAGGAAGAATGAATGCATTATAGAGGCAGGAAAGAAACCTCACACACACTCATGTACTAGACGCATCAAACAGAGGCCAAGCATGTAGATTAGGATGAAAGTCACGGTATGAATAAAGTAGGGTGTGTGTGGTTTTTTTTTTTTTTTGGGGGGGGGGAGAAGAAAAAATAAAAGTTTTTTAAAAGCATTAAACCAAGAATCACCTCTGGCTTCACGGAAGAAAACATTTAGGTTTTTTAAAAGCATTAAACCAAGAATCACCTCTGGCTTCACTGTGGTAACTAAATGGCTAGTCCCCTCTAGTTTCACTAGCTCCTGGTCACCTGAAAAAGTAAACATTGCCAAATCAATTTTGTGCATATGAATGTAAAAATGACACCCACTCATGACTTGTATTAATATAAAAGAATTACAGACAGGAATACAAAATTTACTCGCAGAGTCCTCAAACCATATTGTTATACACACATATATATAGAGACACACACACACTCATGTACTAGACACATCAAACACAAACCAAGCATGTAGATTAGGTTGTGGGAAAGAGAATGGGCACGCAAAAAGTGGATGCATGACCGTAGGTAAGATAACCTGCTTGAATGCATAACTGGACATCAAAATGTGAGGCTTTCTGCATTATAAGCATAATTGCCCATAAGGCCTGCAAACCACAACATGAGAGGCGTGCAGCATAATAGATTCTACAAAGATTTAAAAATTAAGCCAGATACCCTCAAGCCCTAAACTGAATAGAACGAAAACTGTCCAAATTATAAAATGAAAACCTAAAGGGCATAATACCCCACAGCTGTTAGCTCATGCATGTTCCATCCAAAAATTGAAAACTGAATGCTCGTTTTCAATCAACTTAACAATGGTTAAAAACTCAGGCTAAAGTAAAAACGAAGTCAGATATATGAACAAAATTTTATGTATCCTATTTCATATCAGCAGATTAAATTAATCAAAATATTCCAATAAAAAATTGTCAAACACTGCCTACACGGGAAATTCAACCTTCTCTTTCTCTCCAAACAGGCAATGACATGAAATTCTTGCTACTAAATGAACGGAGATCCTTTCTTTATTCCAGAACGAACAAAATATGCATCGTGTAAACCTAGCACTCAAATAGGGTTTAAATCATCGATTTATACTCTTACCGTAATCTGACACAGATCCTAATCCGCGCGAAATAGCTACGTTGTGGACTGTTGTGATCTTCATCGTGGACGCAGAGACGAACGATCTCACCATTCCCTCTGCACCATCCGAAACCCTAAATCATTGCCTTGTTCGGATCCGGCTCCGGACAAGGCAATGGCAACGATTTATGGTTCGTATTTTGCCATAGGGCTCCATTCTCGAATCTCGTCCAGAGACGCGAGCGACCAGATCTAGATTTCTCTTTCTTCTGGACTCTCTCTCGCTCTCTCGCTCTCTCACTTAGAAGTTAGCTCTGAATCAGATTGTAGAAATTAGACGAGTCGGTCACAGCCGGTTTTCGTGTTATAATTTGGGCCTCTTTGTTACTTGTCCTCGTTTTGGGCTATCTTAGAGCAACTCCACCCATTTACGAATTTCACTGCGAGTAATTTTTTTAGAGACAAAATAAGAGTAAATATTAAATAAAAAAATAATATTCTTCCTTTTTTTTTCTTTTTTTTTGGTTGTTGTCAAACTTTCTCTTTCTTTTTCTTTTTTTTTGTCTTTCCAAGATATATGCATTTTGTTCCCTTTTCTATTATTAATTCCATCTATAATTTGTAAGTTTATTTTAAAATTTAAAGTTTATTATTAATTCCATCTATAATCATTTTGCAAGTTTATTTTTGATTGTTTAAACTTCAAATATTAGTTTTTACTATTTTATCCCTTGTTATTAATAATGTTGTCTTTTAAGATTTTGGTTAATACAGAAACAATGCCACAATGAAAGATGAATGCAGCCAAAGACATGAAAATCACTGCTGAGTGCAGAAATATTAGTTCATTCTGCATTTTTCCTGCCATGTACAAAATGAGAAATATATTCTGCCCAAAAACAAAAGAGAGAAATATACAAGTAGAACAGATGCAAACAACATCAATTGACCTGCCAGTCAGCAGCACTCAACTGACTCTGAAGAGTGAAGACACCTTAAGAAACTTGATCACTCTTTTTGTTCACTTGAAATTTTAATTCTCCCGAGTCGAGTTTTTCGTACCAGGGGGAATGCTGGAGATCCTAAGAAGATTTATGATTAAATTATTGCTATTTTTACTGAAATGGAGATGTGTGGATACTTTCCGTTTCTTGTGTGGCTTGATTTGGTTTCTGTCATACTAGGTAATTTAGTTATGCTGTTATCTGAACTTATTTAGCTCCCTTTTTTAGTTTGGATTAGCCTCTATGATTTTATGAATATGCCTATATATTCAGGTTATCAACAAACTGATTATATTTGAATTGACTACAACTAATACAGATCAAAACATTCAGGTTAGCCTCCGTATATATACCTTCTTGCCCTACATCAGATTATCTTATTGATCAAACATTAAGGCTTCCCTATGTCATCTTGAATAGAATTATATTAGTTGAGCAAAAATGAAGCATGATTCTATACTTGCCAGAAGCTTTGCTCACCATGAGCAGAAGAGGTTACGATATGGAACATTTGCTTGCTGCTTGCTCATACCATTATACTTTTGCACGGTGCTCAGGCCTAGTTTGAATCTATTAGTTTGTATGGAAAATGTTCTTCTTCTTCTTCAGCCTTTAGCATATTTTAACCTAAACTGTTTACCTTCTTCTGTACAAAAGTTACGAATGACCAGATTAACATGATATGTTTTGAGCAGCTATAGTGATGTCTAAACTTTCATTTACTCGCAGGGAATTTGCAGCTGTCAGTGGGTGTTGGTTTGGAAATGCTGCAAGTCGAGCAAACAAACAGCTCTCAGCAGGTAATCAAAGGCAAGCATCCCGATCAGAAGATACGCACTCCCACTGGTCTCATTGCAGAAAATGGTCCACAAGCAGAGACAAAGAGTAAGGACCCTTATGCTCTACCACTTTTCCAAGTGGCTGATATCATTATTTCCTACTTACTTTCCGTGGGGTTAAGGTTTATATAGCTCTAAACTTCTTGAAAAGTACATAATTCGGAAGTTGTGATTAAACCATTTAAATTCATTCTGCAGTTTCAGAAGTCGTGACAAAGAATTTGGAGCCAATTTGCAATGTTTTGGAACCAAGAACCAATTTTTGCGAGATCAACAGGGATGCTCGGGTTGATGGAAAATCTTCGACAGTTTCTGTTGTTTCATCTCAAATGGATGTGTTAGCAGGGAATGGCCCCTGGACTATAAGACCTTATGCTCGAAAAGAAGACAAAAAGCCAATGAATCACACTCGAGCATGGTCAGTAAAACCAGTCATTGGTGACCAGGAAGTCCCTCGATGCTCCCGAAATCATAGTGTTCCAGCCATCTTGTTTTCAAATGGAGGATATACAGGAAACCATTTCCATGAATTTACTGATATAGTAGTTCCACTCTATATTACTTCTCGAAAATATGATGGAGAAGTTCAGTTTCTTATTTCGGATTTACGAACTTGGTGGGTTGCAAAGTTCCAAGCAATACTAAAAGGACTTTCTAATTATGAGCTTCTTGACATTGACAAAGAAGCAGTCCACTGCTTTCCAAGCATAACTGTTGGCCTCAAAAGACATCCAAAGGATCTGACCATTGATCCTTCAAAACATTCATATTCTATGAAAGACTTCAGAGAGTTCTTAAGAAACACTTATTCATTGAAGAGGGCTAATGCAATCAGAATCAGAGATGGTCAACGTAAAAATCCCCGGCTTCTGATCATATCAAGACGGAGGACAAGGTGTTTCACGAATTTAAGACAAATTACTAAGATGGCTAGAACCTTGGGGTACAAGGTAACTGTTGAAGAAGCAGACAGGAATATGTCAAGAATTGCACAAGTTGTGAATTCTTGTGATGTGTTAATGGGAGTTCATGGAGCTGGCCTCACAAACATTCTTTTCCTTCCTGAAAATTCAATTTTTATCCAAATACTACCAATTGGAGGGTTCGAATGGATTGCAACAAACTACTTCGGAGCGCCTTCAAGGGGTATGAATCTAAACTACTTGGAATATAAAATAAGCAAAGAGGAGAGCACGCTGAAAAATGACCCTCACACAACTCCAATACGAGGATGGGAAGGATTCAAGTCAACTTTTCTGAATGCGCAAAATATAAAGCTTAACGTCAATAGGTTTAGACCCACTCTGTTAAAAGCTCTTGAACTTCTGCATTATTAAGCCATTGGTTAGTTTCAAGAGGAAGATGGGGCCTCTGCATAGTTTTTCCGTGTTCTTTTCTCCGGGTTCTTTATGTTATTCTAGCCTAGCATTATTTACCAAAAGGGAGTTCATACGCGTTCCCATGTTCTGATGATCAACCACACACCACCTATCATGATTCACAAACAGACATGAATTTAAAATAAAAAAAATAAAAGGAAAGAAACTGGACAATAATGAAAATAATGGAAATATAGATATAAATAAACAATTTCCATATTGCTTATCCAGTACGATGTACCAAAAAGAATCGACAGTGTTTCTTTACAAATACAGCCCTAACTCCTGCGTGAAAATGTAGGAGTGTTTTTTTTCACTTTACAAAGACTGCGCCCTACTCAAACAAATATATACAAAATGCAGCTCCTTGACACAGCAGTAGGCGTGGATCAATGTGATCTGTAAGCTGCGGCTAAAAACCTGTTTACAATAACCGGCAACTTCTACAGAACAAGGTCCATTATCCATACCCAAGGAAGAATGTGCCCAATCACCCCTTTCCAAAATATGGGTGGTTCTACCAATAAAGAATGTTAGATATCACCTCTTTCCAAATATGGGTTTGCACAGGCCGGCACCAATAATAGATTCTACGGAATGTAGTTTCTATTCCAGAGGAAGCTCAACTGCCTAGAAGATTGACGTTCAAATTTCGTACCCCAAGCCTTTGAGGATGGACCAGTCTCCAGCAGCTCTTTACCGCTGCTTGTGCTTTTGATCATATGCTTAACTCCACTATACGACAAGCAATGCTTAACCCCACTTAGCACTATCAAATGAAGTCCTTTTCTGGCTTGTCTTTTTACTCTTCTTTAGAAGCATTGACATATGGTCAATATCTGTGGAAGATGAATGCCTCTCACCCTTTAACCAAAGCACAGCCTCAGCAGCTGCATCCTTCTCTGCTTGTTTCTTACTATTGCAAGGCTGCCCTACAAAGTTCAACCCATTGAAGATCACTGTAGAACAGAACTGGTTGTTTTTCAATTGTTTTGTCTTGTAGGTGGGTGCATCATGTCCGGCTCTGACAAGCAAAGTTTGCAGCTGATTTTTGGAATTATTATTAGGCCCACCTTTATCACCAACTGTCAAGGCGCCAGGTTTAATATCTTTTGTTGCCTTCTTTGAGGGTACTGGCACCTTACGACCAAAGACAAATCTACCCTCACATTGGTCCTCTGAGACCAGTAATCTTAGCGCTGATAGGAGGTGAGTATGGGACTGCATATCCAATTTGGGATTGAGGAGCTGCTTGCAAAGACATCACCATGTTAGAGAGAGAGAGAGAGAGAGTGGGTATAGATTCCAAGTGTTTCAAGAGCTATGACAAATGGTGAAACCAAATACAAACCTTGTTATGAATCAGTTCGCCAAGCTCCCCCTTTAAAAAAATATATGTATTTGCTAATGCAGGATTCATGAAAAACTCCAAATATCCTCCCAACATCTTCAGGTGCCCATCCTGCCAAAAGCAAGTAGGAGTATTTACTATTTTTTCTTCAAGAACACAAATGCAAAGTAACGAGCACAGCCAAAGTCAATGAACCTACCAGCCCGCCCCTGGAGATGTTGCCTCCAAACAAAAGAAGTACAGAATCAGATACACCAGTTGAATCCCGGAGAAATACCGAATTCACTTTCACCTTTTCGTTGAAAACTAGCCATGGGTATGGAATTTTGGGTACCCCGGCATTGACAGAATTCTAATTGATGCAATCAACAATCATAAACAATAGATCAGAAATAATGATGTCTCATTATATACAATTAAATAAAAAATTTGAATTAATGCCACAAGGAAACATGAATACAGCCAAAGACAAGGAACTAACCGAGTATAGCATTACTTGTCCATCTTCCATTGTTTTCAGCGCAATTGACTTCTCTTTGTTCTGTGCAACGTAAATGTAACAATGCAACATACACGATAAATTAGAGAAAGATACACCATTCACAAGCAAAACAGATGCAAGCAACATCTTGTGACCGTTCAGAAATTCAACTTAATCTGAAGAATCATGACCCCGTTTATCACAGTTTTTGTACACTCGAACAAATCATTTGTGGTATTGTTTTAACTAAATGTGAAGATTACAACACCTTCTATCACACTCTTGCTCAGTTGAACATATCACTCTTTTTCTCCGTAT